TTTTTTGAAGTCATTTATTGAAGAATTAATTCTCCAATGTCCATATGACGGTTGTCTGAAATTCCTTGTTCCGGAAACCGCCATCTTCGCGAGAAACAAATTAACTTTCGCGGACCCCATCGCGGAACTTTCGCGGGGCTGTTCTCAGAACATTCATCACAAGAGTAGTACACGAAGTACACTTTCGCAGCCCCAGCTCGAAAGTCGCAGCTGTTCAGTGCGAAAGTAGTACTAAAAGTAAACTTCCGCAGCCCGGCTTGAATACGAAAGTAGTACACAAACTAAACTTCCTCAGCCTCGAAAGTCAAAACTTTTCAATACGAAAGTAGTACACAAAGTGAACTTCTGCAGCCCCAGCTCGAAAGTCGCAAGCTTTCAGTTCCAAAGTAGCACGCGAAGCGCGCTTCCGTAGCTCCAGCTCACAAGCTGTGAGCTACGCGCGAGAGGACCTGTTGGCCTCATGTCCGGAAACTGGCGGGGAGGTCCGTTGACTTTCGCGAAACTTTCGCGGATCTTACGCCAAACATTCGCGAAAATCCGGCTGGAAGTTGCGCTCAACTTGCCCCGGCAGCTTCAAAACTCCCAGAAGCTGGTTTCTGCTGGCTGGGGGTGCGGCGTATTCTTGCGGCGACCCTCAGGCTGCGCATTCTCCGACCAACTTTAGTCTGCGGGCATTCTGCGCGCACTGCCAGCAAATACACACGGTTCATCACTCCAGCTTCCTGTTAGCAAGCCACACAAAACTTTCGCGGAAAAAAACAAACTTTCGCGACCCCCTTCGCGGAACTTTCGCGAAGGTCAACGCTAAAAAAGGTCTTCCCCTTCATAGCTCAATACAAGGACCTTTCGGACGACTCTCATATGATGAACTATCAACTGTATTTGTCGCGCACAAGTTCAAAAGGACAATAAGGTGCACACACACACAAACAGGAATGGCTCAAAAGCAGATGCTTCAAAGCACTTTAAAGTACTTTTGGACTCAATATTCAAGATTCCCAGGACTCTAGACCTGGAAACTCTAATCCAGCCTGGGCCCCCCGAACCGCTTTAAAGCGCTTTAAAGCACTTTTGGATTCAAGATTCTCAGGACTCTAGATCTGAATCTTGAATCCACGAGCCACCTGGATGAACACGCTGTAAAGCGCTTTAAAGCGACTTGGGGGGCCCAGACTGGATTCAAGATTCCAAATCTAGAGTCCTGGAATCTTGAATCTTGAATCTTGAATCCAAAAGTGCTTTAAAGCGCTTGAAAGCATTTTGGGGGGCCCAGACTGGATTCAAGATTCCAGATCTAGAGTCCTGGGAATCTTGAATCTTGAATCTTGAATCCAAAAGTGCTTTAAAGCGCTTTAAAGCATTTTGGGGGGCCCAGACTGGATTCAAGATTCCAGATCCAGAGTCCTGGGAATCTTGAATCTTGAATCCAAAAGTGCTTTAAAGCGCTTTAAGTTTTAAAGCATGTATTTTGGGGGGGAACTGGATTCAAGATTCCAGATCTAGAGTCCTGGGAATCTTGAATCTTTAATCCCAAAGTGCTTTAAAGCGCTTTAAAGCATTTTGGGGAATCAACGTTGGAGTGCCCCAAAAGAGTCAAAATTGAAGGGCCTGAAAGGGGGTGGAAAATCACACAAAAGTACTGCAAATACTGTCAAATTATCTTGGGGCGTGGGTTTTTCTTTTGGGGGGTACCATATATATATATCCGTAATAGTGGTGAAAATTACCAGCGGAGATACTCATCGGCACATTCCCAAAGTCGAACCTTGAGAGGTCACGGCTACCATCTTGAAAAGTAACACGAACGCCAAACAACTTTGGGGAGACTGTCTTGAGGGTCCTTGCCGTCAAAGGTCTGGACAAGACGAACTCGGGGAGCACAGAGGTCGATGCGCTGAGAACTGATTTGGATCGAAGCTGATTGGGCTTTCGAAGACGAACTGTTCCTTGTTGGAAAGCCTTTTGTCCACTTCCGTCATTGTTGGAAAAAGGGCAATGGCCAACTGCTACAACTGCCTCCAAAACCTTATTTTGGTACGGCTGCCCGATTGATCATTCAGAACTGGAAAAATGCTTTGGTGTGAACGGCGTGACCTTCCTGCCAAATTGCCGCAAACAAATTGATCTTGGCCTAGCAACAGCTATCTCAATTGCGATCAACATTTCATCCATAAGAAGAGCAGCAACGAACACAAAGATCAAAACAACAAACTTTCGTTGGTCAAAATAGGGACTTGGACCCCAACATGGGTTCCGATTCTCCTTTTGGTCACCAACCGGGCACCCAAACCACCCCAAACCCGGACCCGTTTTTGACGCCTTGGACGACGCAAGGGCATAAGTCGCAGGCCAGGGCCCCACAGGACTCCGCGGCAAGGAAGGCCTGCCGTCGTTCGCGAGCACCTTGTCCCGGATGCCCAGCAGCCATGGGAAAGCAAGGGCATCTTTTTTTGGGTTGGTTGACTTTAAAGGGGAACCCTTGCCCAAAAAAGGGGAAAAAAAGGCACCACAGGGCAACTGGGTTGTGCCACCAAAAGAAGTCAAAGACCATGTAGAATGGAACACGGCAGGAAAGTAGCCTGGCAAAAGGTTGATGTTCGAAGGAAGTCAGCTGCATAGCCTCATGGCCTTCCTAGCGCTTCCAGTTGGAGCAGGTAACAAGGTATTCATGTGTGGCTGCCAGTTTTTTACCGGGGCTGGAAGCACTGGGAAGCATAGGTGTCCTTGTTGAGAAAATAGATGGCCCTGGTAGTTGATTGAACCACCAGGTAAACCAGGGCCCTCTATTTTTCAACTAAATCAACCAAAAAGGACACCTATGCTGGGAAGGCTAAGTCCAGGAAGCATGGGGCTCGATGTTCTGATCGCATTACCGCATTGCTTCAAACAGACCGGTGGTTCTCAACTCCAACCGGTCGAACAGACGCCCGGCCCATGGGCTCGGGGGCTTGCACGACGTAACGGACATACCCCCTGAGCAACAGATCCCCAAGATTGCTATGATAATAAAAAAACGTCGCACACACCGCGGCACGTGCAACATTCCCCTCTTGTTTTTTTGTTATTTTCCTCCGGTGGCAATGCTTCCTTTTTTTTCACCAGTCTGTACGCAGATTGGCAGCAGGCAAGTGCGGGAAACCAAGCCGAATCCAGCCTCATAGAACTCATCTCCTCCGCCAGTGTCCTCTGCCACTCTTTCAGCTGACGCACACAATATCCGCCAAACGGTGTGATGCAGCACACCCTCAAATCTCACTTTGATTGCCCGAAATGCCAAGTTCACGAACGCCAGCACACACACACACACACATGAATGGCATTTAGAGTCGAGAAATGTGCTTGCTCCAACAAGATTAGTACTTGTACAGTAAACTTACGTAAACTTGTGCCCGCATGCCAAGCGAGCGGTTTTAATCTGTGAGTCAGGAGTCCGCAAGTGCTTTGTGAGCCCTATTGAGACGCCTGGCCTCTTGCTATATTACAACATCGACCCGACCCCGCCGAAAAACACAACAACGCAAGCAACCCGCCGACTTGGCAAGCATTGGATCCAGTTTGGCTGGGCCGTTTGAGGCACCAAACTGCGCAACTAAGCCTTGAACACTAGGCCGAGCATCCTAATATGAAGGCAAGCGTGATTGCGTAACATGGCAAGGGGTGGAAACACTTGGAAAGCAAGTTCAGACACAAAAGTAATGGTAGGAAACCCACTAGGTTCTCAGGAATAGTCAGTTGCATCCTGTGCTCGAAGATGTGCCAAGCCCCGCCCTATGTTGCGGATGTTGGCATATGTGTCGACGGGCCCACTTTCTAATTCGCAAATCAGAGCAAAGCTAACCTTGCTTGCAAGGATTGACTGTTGTGAATCATAAAGCATCTTCATCTCTAAGCTTCCCTCTCTCTCCCTCCCTCTCTCTCTCTCACTCTCTCCTTCTGTTAGTGCTGTGTCTCTCTCTCTCTCTGTATCGCTCTCTCTCTCTCTCTCTGCCTCTCCCTCTCTCTCTCTCTCTTTCAGCTAGCTCTGTTTCTCTCTCACTCCTCTCTCTCTCTCTGCTTGCTACTGCTCTCTCTCCCTGTTTCTCCTGAAACGATTATGACTCGCACTCGGCATCCAACCATGCCACACTTGCTACTTGGACCGGCACACTGGCTCGAAGAGCACGCTTCTGCGCTCGCGAGGGCTTAAAACCGTTGAACCGACCAGGCAGCCATCATACACACACACACAACCATCTGAAATGCTAGAAAACTGTAACAGTATTAGTTCACGAACCAATCGACCCTGTGGATGGGACACATGACTTCCATGCCTTGTTCCCGACGATGCTTTGGGCAAGCTCCAGGCCGGAGAAGAGCGCCTAACCAGCGCTGGGATTTCTGGTCCAATTCATTGGTTTCTTAGATTCCAGTTTCGTGGGAAGTTTGAATCTATTTACACATTTTCTTCAGAGATATGGGAGACAAGGACTCTTTGGACATCGTCGTTTCCATGGGGGGGGGGGGTTCTGCCGCTTCCCGTCGACCAACCATTTTGTAGGGATGTCCCGTTGAAAATCATAGCCGTATGAATCAGTCAATATTCCGTTGGGTAAGCAAAGCCGCAGCCCTTCTACCAAGTGAGTATCCTAAATGAATCCATGTCACCCCTATGTGTTTGAGTGCAAGCAATGCCACCCCCTCAGAAAGAAAAGAGGTGCTTATGCGCAGTTGCCATGGTGCTTGTGACAACTCCCCAAGATTGGAGAGGTCCAAAAGTGGCTGCAGGGAAAAGGAGGAAAGCCCACGAGTTTTAAGATACAAATATTTCGCTTGGCCAGTGTTCTAATCTGCTCATTCTGCTGACTCTTCGCCGTATCAGGGTGGTGGAAAGCTGTGAGTAGCACAGGGTGCGGTGTATGTGCAGGGCAGGATGTTTAATGACACATTGGCTGATCAGATGTGGATCTACACAAGCAAAGCTGGTATGCTTCGCCAAGCAGACATGAACAATCATACCCAAGACTCGTAATCATCAGTGAGCACGATTCACTGCTTGTGCAGGTGAATGCACGATGGTATATATTCAAAGATGGGTTCATCCTTGCATTGCAGCTGCAAGACTTACACTACGCACGCCATGCAAGTAGGCAACATGCACTTGCAAAATGGGCGGGCAGATTATCTGCAAGCAGCTCAAACAAGCAGACTCATGTTTGCCTGAGGATCTTATGCTTAACGTTGCCCCTCTTAGCACATTGAAAGGGGCACAGTCTGCTCCATTCCCCAGTTCTAGCCCAGAGGATGTCCACAGCGTGTGGTCATCCAGTTACGGGGCCCATGCCAACGGTCCTCAGTCCAATCCATCCTTCGCAGGTGTTTCTGCCGCCTAAAATCCAAAAAACATTGTGCAAGAGCAGTGACTTGGAAGGTGCTGGGCAAGAATGGCGGCTTTCTGGTGGGTTTGCCGGTTTGCCTCAACAACCTGAGAAATACCACCGTAAGCAGTCTGCTCGGGACGGCGAGCAGCGAGCGCCTCTCGCATGGCCTTCTGCTGGGGACTGGGCCTAAGTCGGAAGCTGTGCATCTGCAGAAATTGCTGGCCGATTGTCCAGCGCTAGCTTGGCTGAGTTGAAAGTTGTTGCAGCCATCATGTGTTAGTGTTCTTTTGGTGCTTGCACCCAACTGACGCATTGTCCTTTCACTCATCCCAAGCCACTCACATTCCACGCTATCAGCAGGAATGTGGACCTTTACCTGTCCACATCCAGTACATGAGGCGGTTTTTCCTTTACTCATGTAGAAACTGGATTTTGCAAAACACCCAGTAAGCAACAGCGACGATAGAACAAATCGTGGTTACTTGTTTGCGCAGGTAAAATCATCGAGACTTCGATGTCATGCAACATGTGCAAACTTAGTATTGCGGTTACTCACTTTCGGTTTCAATGTATTGCCACTGGGTTTGGGTGAGGGAAAACAACCCCACCGGAATTTTCACGATTATTTTCCCTGCGTATACCTCCTTGCCACCCCCTCTAATTTCAATCTTGTCCTCGAGTGCAATGACATCAGACACCAAAATGGGCGGTTGTTCCCGCAGGCTGTTTTCAACAAACAGCGCATCCAGCATTGAAGTTGGGGCTGTTCATGCGGATGTGGCAAACTGTGTTGGTGACGATTTGTTTTGCAGGACCCAGCCCGGGATTATTCTGGGCGAAAAACTGCACGCTTTGCTCAGGGGTTGTTAGTCGCTCTTGCTTTCTACCCCAGAGAAAATATTGTGCTCAATTTTCCGCGCTAAGTCACTGCTGGCGTGTGGCCTTGCTCTACAAACGCACGTATACATAGAGAGAGAGAGAGAAAGGTAGGTGTACTTACATGCTGACTGACCCCCTATGATCTACCTTCTGTATATCACTCCTGCTTTTGTTTTGTCATGGGGGCTGGGGGGGAGGGAGGGGGAGGGGGAGGGAGCCCAAATAAGCCCTTATTCAGCCCTTAATAAGGCCTTAGTTAGGGCTTATTTGGGCTCCCCCCCCTCCCTCCCCCCAGCCCCCATGATTTTGTCCTACCTGCAAATCTAAAGCGCAGTTTTTCTAACGATGTCCGATCTGCTGGTCATAGCATTTCGTTCCTGCCCGTTCTGTGTCCCATGTGCAGATAAATCGACTCTTATTTAAGAATCAGACTTCTAATGAGATTTCATCGTTGTTGAGTTCCGCGCAAAGCCTCATCAGTCTTGACCGAAATCCGATTGGAAACGGAACTAAATTTTAAATACTACAGTTGGAATTCAGCCTTCGCCCTTTCCCTAGAAAATTCCACCCAAAGCTAGCAACACAAAAATCGTGCTTGGAAAGTTCCTCCTTAAACTCCTTTCTGATGGTAAATTCTATTTGAGATGTCCCACCTGCAGCTGCAGGTCATTGCGTATCATTCCTGCCTGTGTTGCGCCCCATCTGCATACTTAGATTAACCTCGTTCTGTTTTCATGATAGAACTTCCAACAAAAATCCACCGTTGTTAATTTCCCCACTGAGTTATATTTAACCGAGTTCTTTTGGAAGCGGAACTAATACTAAAATCCTACACAAAAACAGGGAATTCCGATCAACCCCTTTCCCTATTATGTAAGTGCTATTGAAACTTTAGGGCCCCGAAACCTCCATATTCAAGGTCTTGTGAAATGGCTCAAGTTTCAAGGTCTTGCATCTATATACATATATGTGTGTCAAATTCGAGGTCTTAGTTTAGAACGTGTTTTGGCCAAGGTGCAAATCTCGTCAAGCTGTCGCTGCTTAACTCACTCCAAAGCGCGCGCAAGCAGCTGATTTGGCTCCGTGGGTCATGCGTCACGCACGCTAAACCCCAGGCTGATCACATCTAATCTCTGGCTGGTCCTCGCGATTCCTCAGTTCATCATATGTGCGAGATACCCTATTTTCAAACAATTGTGCATGATGATCACGCGTTCCAAGCTTAATCGAGGAACTTTTAATGAACTGCATCGCGCTTTCATCCCGGAAGCAGTGGAACCGCTTTATGTTGTGGCCTCAGCCAAATCACATTGAGCTGGCCATGGGGCATGTGGCATGTATCGAAATGAAAAAAGCCAAGGGCATGAGATGGTGCTTCGGTCGAAGTTGTCATCGCAGCCCGATCAGAAAAGGCAAATGTTGCCCAAGTCTTATTTTCAGGATAGGTCGTCTGTGCGGGTACCCACACGCATGGCCATTTTGGACCCCCTTGGCTTCCCAACCGAATGGCCGGTTCAAAGTTGGCTTTTGTCACTTCACTATTTCCAAGGTGTAGCAGAGCCAGGTCATACTATGCGTGGCTCAGGCTCGTTGCCAAGATAACCAGCAAGTCCAGACCCCGAAGCCGGGCCCGACTCGCAATCCCAGCCAGCTCTGTCACATCCTTGGGAGAATGATCGGCCAGAACAATTCACTAAGACAATGCGAGTGAAACCATGTAGGATCAAGCTTCAAGGGCTTCAGCCAAATACTCATCTGCTTTCAATCCAACAAAATCATGACGCATGGGCGGGGACGCTAGAATATACTGCAAATTGTGAGATTGCGCTGAGCATCATGATTGGTGCTGGCGCACGTAATTGCTCCAGCCGCGCTCGGCTTCTCACACACACTCTCTGCAGGCATGGCATCGAATCACTCAAGCTGGCGGGGCCACGCTGCTGGTTGATCATGAGATGGCAGCGCCCCCAAAGCCAGCTCATTCCATGGGCTGTTTATGAGCCCTGCAGTCATCAACAAAACAAGAATGTTTTGATCTGATGAGGCGAATTGCGTCCTCTCCTCCAGTGGCCGGAGCCGCTCCTCTGCTGACGTGCCATGCTCCTCCTGCGCAGCTTGCCTGATCCGATTCCTAGAAAGTCCTGCATTTCCAAATCTCGGTTTCCAGATTTGTCTGAGTAAACCCTTAGCGAGGCCCAGCAGGCTCAGCAGCCAAGGCGCGCGACATTCCGACGCAGAAACAAGAGCAGGGCCTGGGTTCCCACACTCTCCTTCGCCTCGATTGCCAAATCCGTTGCCTTCTTGCATTTTCAGGCTTGCCAGAGCTTGCGCATCTTGAGCTGCAACGCTACACTGCAATCAACCTGATGAATTCCAAAGAAATAAGCACAGCCGCCCAAAGTCCTTTATATGCCGTTGTTCAAAACGCCTTGGGCTCCCAGAGAAAAACAGGTGTACATGAACTTCATGCTTGGAAAGGAACCCCGCATTGTGCAAAGATTTTCTAGCTGATTTGTTCATCATCTATTGCTGAATCAACTGTGTTGAAGAAAGCCTTGCAAGGAGCTTTATAAGGAGATCCAGAAGGTGCCTTGTAGGGAGGTTTACAAGGCCTCATGAGGCTTGAGTCAAGAACTTAAAGGCAGCTGTTAAATGCTGCGGCAAAACAAAACTAAAATTCAATTCGGTCGCTATTGCGTTCCATGTGAGCGGTGACCAAAAATAAAAGGACAAAAGGTCACAATATGAGAGTGGTGTCCGCGCATCTTCCCCTGGCTTCCGCGGCAAAAGTACTTTGATTCCGCGGCTTCCGCGCATGGTCTGTGTGGGATTTCTGTTGGGCTTGCTGGGGTTGTTTGCGAGATCCCGCGCGACAATTTTCTGAAAGCCTGTCGGCCTGTCGTTTCTGGCACGCAGGAGTTCCTGGCGTTCCTCCAAGTCACTTTTGTTTCTTCGCAGCTGACCAAATGCAACAAAGGAGCCAAAGTACAGTTTGGTTTGTTTTATCCAGGGCAATTTGCTTGAGCCAAAAAAATCGTTATTCTGGGTCAAGAAGCTGCATTGGCAAAACACTTGTTTCAAATTCTCTGTTTTTTGTTGGCTTGCTTTTGGCTTCGGACGACTTCGCGGGGGATTCAGTGGAAGAATTTGACAGGGACCACCAGGCGGCGCAGTCAGGGTCAGGGCAAGATTGTGGCGCCCAAGCAAAAGAATTTGTTTGTGCCAAACAAATCGCGGTTGGTTTTTCCGACTTCACAAAAGAGGATGGGAAATGTGAGGCTCTGGAGTGAACCAGTGCAGGCGCGCTTCTGATCCAAAGTGCATATTTAGACGCAAGGGTTCGATTCTTCCCTGGTTTGGTTTTGGTGTCTAGTTTATGGGATTGTGGGGCGCAATACAAACGATTTGTTTGGCCCACACAAATTGGCTTGCAAGTTGCAGGGTTCTGTTTTTGCTCCAAGAACCGGTACCAAAAAAGCAATTTGCTTGAGCCAAGTAATTGTTAATTTTGTTTGCCATCTGTGAAGCTAGCTTCCGCGGGCTTCCGCGGCAACAAAGCTTGCAATGTGCTCCGCAGAAGCTTCCGCAAGCTTCCGCGCCCTAAACAAATCCTTTCGCGGAATGCCATTTTGGCACCCCACGACTAAACTTCTTCAAACAATATTTGATCACTGCTCATGCGGATTCTAATATCTATCTCATCAAAGTCCCACCTGGGTAGAATTTCGCCTTTTCAGTCTAACCTAGACTGAGGTTGCTGACTGCGCTGCTAGAAGTGTTCAGCAAACATATCAAAGCCAGCACATCTCAACAAACAAGCAAAACTTGATGGACCATGCCCACAAATGCCCACAAGATAAACATATATATATATATATGTCTTGTTGATTTTCCATGCGTTTCAGAGGGAACAAACCACGTTTTGCTTTTTGTGGGAGAGATAATGCAGGAAGAGAAACACTGATGGACAACCAACACAAATACAAACAACTCGCAAAACACAACAAACACAAGCTCACGGGGATTTGTTTCCTTCAGCCACAAACTTTGTTTTTGGATTTTCTGTAGATTTGGGTTTTTCCACAGTTTGTTCACATTATCCCGCAAAAGCAAAATGCAAGGTGCTTGGCTTTTTAGAAGGCCTCCACAAACTAAAAACCTCGAGATATTGTTTTTTGGTGAGGGGCAATGTCAAAAAAACTGGAAAAGAAGACGCGAACACTTAGACAAAGCAACGAAGTTTGAGCTGAGAACAACCATTTTCCCCTGCAAATAATGTCCTTTTGTGGAGAGAGAGATGTGTTTTGGTTTCTTTGGCTTTCCCTCAGTTTGTTGCTGGCATAGTTTGAAATGAGTAATTTCCTTATTAAATGCGCTTGCATGTTTTGGGAAGAGCACGAGCTGACAAAAAGCTTAAATTTTGCACATGTCCACAGACACTAATTTTGTTTTCCAACTACTTTGCCATCACAAGAGATCCCTGTAAATACGCATGCTGCTGTGGCATTCCCAACTCAACGTGGAATGCCCCCACAGAACGGGATACGGCCATGTGTTTTGCGCACACATTTTTATGATTCTGCATCTTAAACATCAGTCTGCAATTCATAAAAGCCACGGTACCAGGCAGTCTGGCAGTTAAAATGTGCACTGTCAATGCACAAAAACTGTTTGAAAGGACTTCAACAAGCGAAAGATAGATCTTAGGGGGGCTGACCATACTTACAGATCAGATTTATGTGCAATGTAAATGTAGCATGCATTCCACGGACAACAACACACGTTACTCTCCAGACGTATATACAACACCACACTTTACCTGTGTCCACAAGGTTAGGACAGGACCTCTTCAGTCAAATAGGTCAAGACTTGACGATGGATATGGTTGTCAACCGCCACAGGTCCACAGTTGCAGGGGTGATCTTTGAATCAGTGATAAGGGGCCCTCTGGTACGTGACCTGCGTGGGCTCGGAAGCTTTGTCTCCTCCTAGGGAGGAAAAGGGAGAAGATCTCGGGGGGAAAGGGGGAAAGGATCTCAACCAAGGGAAAAGATCTTGGGGAGGACAAGGGAGAAGATCTCAGGGGGGGAAAGGCCTTAGGGGGGAAGGATCTCAACAGGGAAAGGGGGCAAAGGATCTTAGGGAGGAAAAGGGAGAAGATCTTGGGGGGGAAAACGCCTTAGGGGGGAAAGGGCGGGAAAGGATCTCAACAAGGAAAGGGGGGAAAAGATCTTAGGAAGGAAAAGGGGGAAGATCGCAGGGGTAAAAAAGGCCTTAGGGGGGAAAAAAGGGCAGTGAGCGCAGCATCAGCCTGGTGGACATGCATTTTGAAGGACAGGAAAGTTGAGTCGCCCCCCCCCCCAAACTGCAAAAACGGGTACGACTGGAAGTTGTGTCACGTTTGCTGCTTGGCTACACCTGGCTGCCCGCTCGCTCGCATGGGCGCCAGGCTGAAAGCTGGCACCCCGCACCGGCAGGTAGGGCCAGGGCCTCGCCGGCGTAGGACATCTCCAATTGGACACGTGGCAAGGATCAAGAAGAGCAGGATATCTTCCTCCCCGCTGTTGGACTTTCAAGGATCCAAGGATCTCCATTGGACAAACAATGTGCTTGAAGGCCATGCAAACATGCAGGGATAAATAGAGAAACTAGGGGCTCCAAATAAGTGCAACACATTTCATAAGCGAAGTAGGTGGCTGAGACACCATTCTAAGATGCCAGTCTAAAGCAACCCCAACGTGGCGAACGCAGGGCGGAAATGAAGCCAACACATCTTTGAGTAACAGTGTGACTGCTCCCCGGGAAAAAAACAAAAAACATGGAAACAACAACTAAACAACAATAGCAAGATATCTTCCCCATCCCCGCTTTTGGACTTGCTTCGACCCGCTCCCCTGCCAAAAATGTGACCTGATTGGCGCACAGAAGCAACCGCCAAGTATATTACGACATGCAAGTTGTTCTAATAGTAGGAATCCCTTACTGGGTGAACAACTTGAAAAACAAACATAACTAGCCAAGTATAGGATACCTTGCTCTAGGAAGTCCATGGACATATCCACATAATCTGCTTGGCCGCGGGGGCTTGCTGCCCCACTTCTTCAAGTTTAGATCATTTCTCTTGAGATGTGCCTCGCAGGCTCTTGGTTGCAAGCTAAGGTCGAGTTTGTCCAAACCGTTGGAACAAAGAGCAAGTTACCTGAGCAGCCTGAGCAACCTGGGAATCTCTGACGCCTTGGGTTCTTTTGTCTTGATCGTTACCCTTGCCGCTTGCCAACGGTTCACTTCGTATTCGGCCTTGCTTTTCTAGCCCCGACACCCTAGGCTTCACTCCAATGTGAAGCGATCCAGCAAGCCTCCAGCAGCTAATAACCAATGAGCCGACTAAGATAGATCCACGAGCCACAAAATGAAACGATCCCTTGCTCCTGGTTTCGCGAACCATCCCCACTTGGAAGGAACCTGAGTTGTTTCAAAGGCTGATTGTATCTTTGAAAAAGAACAGAAAGGACACCACCATGGGTTTGAAAAAGAACAGAAAGGACACCACCATGGGTTTGAAAAGAACAGAAAGGACACCACCATGGGTTTGAAAAGAACAGAAAGGACACCACGCCACCACGGGTTTGAAAAAGAACAGAAAGGACATCACCATGGGTTTGAAGAAGAACAGAAAGGACACCACCATGGGTTTGAAAAAGAACAGAAAGGACACCACACCACCACGGGTTTGAAAAAGAACAGAAAGGACATCACCATGGGTTTGAAAAAGAACAGAAAGGACACCACCATGGGTTTGAAAAAGAACAGAAAGGACACCACGCCACCACGGGTTTGAAAAAGAACAGAAAGGACATCACCATGGGTTCCAGAATCCTTTTGGAAACCTGACGAGCTCATGGCCCCTCGCCTTTCCCTTTCCGACGCTCCGAGCACCCGCGCAAGCCACGGCGGCAGGCCAGCAGCCGGGAGAAGCGCTGACGAGACGGATCGCTTGCAACAGCTCCCCTTCGTGGCTGTGACCCCCACAAAAAGCTTAGCATCCTTGGGTGGTTAGTGGGGAGACACACCTCTTGCAAAGTCCAGGAAAGATGTTCTATGCCAAGTAAGCTCAAGTTCGCCAAAAACCGCGGGGGGCGGTCCGGCAGACAAGTTCCGACTCCAGACTTCGCGTGGATTCGACCAACAGAAACAACCCCCTTCTCCAGCGTGCGACAAAGCGAGCGAGCGGGAGTCCAAAAAGCGTCCGGGGAGTTCGGGTCCAAAAGACCTGGACACGAGAAGGCTCGCCGGTTCATCGTGGCCTAAGCAAAGCATATCCCGGATTCCATTGCGATGCCTGCTGGTCCAGCTCGACGAGGCACACGCTGGGCTGAAACTCCGCGATCCTCGGGGAAGAAACGCGCGCGAGCCACATGGGGCACGCGGACTCCGGGAATGGCGGTTTCTCTTTGATTGTTGCCCTTGAACAAAAATAACCCAAATAGGGCTCACCAAAAGAAAACAATCCATGGCTGAGGTTGCGATCCCTTGCAAATATCAGAAGGAAACAGTTGGCAATGTCACCAAGCCCTTGTTGGGATGAATCTCTGTGTGGGACAAGACAGGATTTGGTCGGTCCACAAGGGCTTCCCAAACGAAGGTTCCGGATATTAAAGTGACGTCCTGTCGATATATTTTGTTGGAAAACTGTTTAACTATCCAATGAAGGGAGCCATGACCACGGCCAACTGTTGGAACTTTTTTTCCAGTACTGATGCAAGGGGCAAACCAATGACTGCGGGCGGCGGGACGCGCAACCTGTGATGCCCCTGAACCCCAGCCTAGCGGTGAGACGGCGTACTGCAACTGGCAGACGCGCCCATGCCGTTCGGGCATATGCCCGCAGCGCGGCTCAATTCCCAGAGGGTTATCGGGTACTAAACCAATCTACCTGATCATGGGGTACTAATGCTTGTAAACGATTGTCCCCCTAATATTACCCGGTGGATCCCAATTCATTTCCAGTATAGTAGGCCGCTCGCCATTTTCCTTTTGGGATACAGGATGGCTCCCTTGGCTGCCTGCTAATTATATTTCTCCACTTGCTTCAGCCCCCTGGGAAAAAAAAAAAAACACAAACACATATATGTCCAATAGTGATAGATTCCCTTTTAATCAACAAAGGAACATAATACCCATGCTTCAGCAAATGGAAGCACTGGCAAATGGATCCACTGGAAACCGACTGCGTAACCGACGTAAGGTCCCGGGCATGCGCCGGGCGGCATCGCCGGAGACACCGCCGTCCCGATGCGCCACACCTGAGCCAATCGACCACGGCCCGCTTGAATAACTTGTTGGTTCTCAGCAGGGAATGAGGGAATGACGCCTACAAACCTTCCCTTGTGATTTCCTTTCAGGTTTCAGGGGATCGCTGGGTTCATTCCATCATTCCCTGAGCACCAGCAAGATCAGTTCGGCAATTTTTGCGATATTGCTGGAGCCTGAAATAAGAATTGGATCCCCAAGTACAGGATCTTTGCCATGGTGAGCTTGTTTTAAAAAAGATGAGCTCGCCAGAGATCATGCAGAATCATCCAGTTACTCCAGTTGGTTGGCAAGATTGAGGGCCAAATTGCAGAAGAAGAAAAAACACAGAGCCACAACGCAAGGCACGAGAAGCTGATCCCAAACACCTCAGATTCGATAGTAAGATTTGGGTGGAAGGACTGGCCTCAATTCAGAAGCACCACATCAGGCATGGAAGGGATTCGGCAGGTTGAACGATTTGGATTCCCAAACAGAATTGGTCCCCTTGGTCAACCCAAAAAACTAGTTGGTCCCAAAAACTAGTTGGTCAAACATATCGGTTGAACCCAAAAAACTAGTTGGTACCCTTGGTCAATTCTCAATATATTTTTTTACGGCAAAGCCGCTGAGAAAGGAAACAAGAGCACCACTTGACAACCTAAGTTGGGGGACCTGTCTTGCCTGTCCTGGTAATTGAACCAGGCTTCGCAGCATGGTGTCACTCTTCGACTGCGACTCACGCCATCAGGGGGGTACGCAGCCAAGTCAGGCTGAAGTACCCTTGCCCAGCCTTTCATCGGGATAGCCCCTCCATTTGCCTGCATTTGCAAACCTCCATGGCTGGGCTTGCCCTGTTTCCTCTTATTGGTACCCCTCCAAAAGGCAGGTGATATCAGAAACACTCCGCCGGACTAGCACCCAAAGGCTGGCAAAAGTTTGGCAACCGCACATGGGACATGTCAATACACTCCCTTGCAAAAGAAGCCGGGCAAAAGTGATGCAGGATATCGTTCCTGTGCTTCTTCATAGTTGCCCCGTGGAAAATCTCACCCATCAACCCCCCTACTAGCTGTTTCCTTGAATTCGGGGGACCCTTCACTGTTTTCAAGAACTCCCTACATATCAATCAGGAAACGGGGTTCCACCCCCTCCCACGTTAAGCTCGGGTTGGAAAAAACAACAACAACAAATAATATCAATAATATCCTTGTCTTTTTCCTCGGGTGAAACACAGCCTTGTGGGCCGCAGGAACATACCAGGGTGATGGAATTACATCAGCATACAAGTTATGTCCTCCAAAGGCGTCAATTGAGATTCATGCCGATGAAATGTGGATTTCCCCTGTTGGTGCTTGTTCTTATTGGTGATTAGATTACTTTCGGGGGAACTCGGCAACATATTTTGATAGGTTAGCAACAACGGGGATACAACTGCAGGGCAGGCTCAGGACGCTTCCATGCAATGGTAAAGGAACGGAGGTCTGATAAAGGTGCAAGCTCATTCTGGGTAAATTGGGGGGTGACAAAAGTATTCCTCCCAGAATCCGCCTGGCTAACTTTTCCTGGTGCAAGGCTCGGACCTGTTGAGCAACCCTCATGCGCCAAGGAGCCCACGATCAGCACCTCCAAGTCAGGAGATCTCAGAAGCCCGCAGTAGGGAGGCAGCGCGCCTGCGTGACACGTCCTGGAATCCTTGAGCCCATGCCCCAGGTCTTTGCGACATGGGTGGGGGTCAAACATGGGGTAACCCCCAAATGGTAACCCTAGTAAATAGGAAACAGGGACTAGAACCTGCGGTTTGTCTGGTGGTTTAATTTTGACCCATACCCACATGCATTTGTAGATCATCCTCAAACACTGAATGTATCGCCATGGCCAAACTCCCCAATTAACCCGAACAAGCTGCCATCTATTTGCAGGCTGAATGTTATTTAGTATGTGTACCAAGTAGCGGTGGGCCATGCATGCAACAGGTATGTCCGCCTTCACACATTGCTCCGGTGCACCACGCGCGCGCCAAAACACTCCGTGGGATTTTGGGACTTCTGGAGTCACCCTAAGCTCACATTTTACGCACACACTCATGGAACGGGACAAAAGCATCTGGCTTCAAACACACAGGGTCTGTAGATAATGGGGGAAAAACACCAGGTCTGATGCGTTTGATCGGGACACACATTCGGCAAGCTGTTGCAAGTTGTGTATGTTGTGCCCAGGAAACGTGAATGTGCGAGATCAGCCCAGGCTACAGTTGCAGATCATGGCAAGCGAATCTGCGAAAACAAAACCAATCTCTCACTCGCGTCACAAAACCAATCTGCGAGGGCCAGGAAGAGCATTCCCCACGGATGTAACAGAGCTTTGGGGTTACCATGAAAGCCGGAAGTAGCCAATGCCAGAAGCTTGAACATTAGGACGACTTGCCCTGAAAGCGCATTTGCCTGGAGCGCTGGGAAAAGGCTTGGACGCAAGAGTGCTGAAGGGGTGCTGAAAGGCTGCTGAAAGGCTTAACGGTGCAACCCGGTTGGGGCTTCCGACCCTTGTCTTCGCTGCGATAATTGACACCACATTCCCAGAAAGGGATCCTATGCCGTTCGAGGTCCATGTTCGTTTGGTCCATGCTCTCGTTGGTTCCCTGAAGCCTGTCCAAAGGAACAGCCGAAGGGTAAACTGCCATGAAGAAGCTCAAGCAGAACCTTTTTTCGGATTGATCATGTTGCAGCAACTGGAAGCAAAAAGAGACGACAAATGCTACATACACAACTGGATGCCCAAAGGTGATGATTGAAGCCACCAGAAAGAGACATATTGTCGGTGTGTCTCGACCTAGGGTTCCCAAAAACTGTTGGTTGTCTTTCATTTAAACCAACCAACAGGGGGTTCCTCTGAAAAAGCACCCACAAAGCCGGACCCCTGACAACTCAACCCTTGCGCCGCCTTCAAGCGCCTCGGCCGTCACCGGCGCCTCGCGAGAAAGCTGAGCTGCGATTCTCATGTCCACCAAAGTTGCCGCAGGAGGTTTACATCTCAATTCATGGCTAAATACTGGTGTGCTGCGACACATAACCATCGTCCGCTGTGATTTAGTCCAAGGACATTGGTCAACCGATCTCCCAACCCTTCGTTGCAGTGCCTCACTGGGCTCTAACAATCCACCTTTGAGATCTAAGTGGATAGCTCAAACCCTGTCCCACTTGCCCAACAGAACAATACTGAAAACGTAGATCTGTGGAACTTGGCCAAGTCGGCAAAGCCAACCTGTCGAAAGGGCATTATTCTTGGGCACTGAGCATGTTATTATCATTCATGCAAGTGGGGGGGATGGCTGCTGCCCAGCGGGCAGCAGAAAATACGGCTGGATCCTTGTACCCCGGTTCGCCTAACAAACAGGCGGTCATTTTACATCTTGACAACAACTGCAAATTGTAAAGGTCAAACGAATCACCGGGCCACATATGAAACAAAGACAGGCTAGGATGAAACAAATGCGTCCGAACAATTGAGCAAGGCAACCAAAGCCAGCTTTAAGTTAGGGTATTTCTCCGACCGTGTTAAACCAGTCGCCGCTGAATGGATTGCGCGTTAGGTGATACCTGGAGCTTACAATCCTTGACTGTTCCGCATGGGTGCTTCCAGAAAACAAAAGGACCACAAAAAATGGATGGCTCCCCGACCCCCGTTCTGGTTTGGAAAACTCTTGAGCAATACGCACAGCGGCCTCATAAAACTACCTCAAAACAAGACACACACACACAGTTCTAAAGCTCCAAAAAAGGAATCTTCGTTGGTTGTTGGCAAGAAGTTGGATGTCGGGTTGATGAACCAAGGTGGATGAGTGGATCACTTCCCCAATATGAAGGATCCCCTTTAAATAGGGCACATTCCGATTGAAACCCATTAGATGGTGATTTAGCCAGTTTTTATTCAATCATCACCATGCAATAAGAAAGAAACCCCAAAACGGAATCCTCATCTTGTGGCAAGTTTCAAACCCCTGGAAGGTAAGGTCGCTGTGCTTTGCGGCCGCTGATTGGGCTTCAGTGGGCTTCTGGCTGTCGCGGCTGCCCTACACAGACTGAAGCGTGAGACTCCCGCCAAAGGCATGCAAGCAAACGCGACAAGTTTACGCCGCCTTCCTGGAGCTTTCGCTTTGCTTGCTGGGCCGCTTGGCTGCAGCATTTCGTCGGTGCTCAGAGACTTGGCGGCTTGGCTGTTTCTTGACGAACGCTCAGGCGCCAGGAGCGCACATTCTTTGCTGAGCCACAAGACTCAGAACCTGGTTGAGGAAGATTAAGCGCTTAGACTGTTCAGCTGCTTTCCACCCATGTAGCTGGATCTTGGGGCAACAGATGATGCGTCTTTGCAAGAGCGTGTCAAGTCCTACGAAGAACCAAGCAAACAGGAAGTAACGGCTAAGGCTGGCATTGATTAGGGTCAACGCTGCCTTGGCTCCATTTTGCTGAGTTTCTTTGCCGTCGCATCAGCCGGCAGCATGCTTCAAACCCCGCAGGCAGTTGGATTGACTTTTTGGTGTCTGTGTGGATGCAGTCTTGTCTAGCCTTGCCAAGCAAATCTTGGTTCGGTCGGGATTGCGCAAAGTAAGAAATAGCTGGTTTTATCGGAATCAAGAGACAATATTAATGGGTTTCCTCAAAAACAAAGTTAAAGTTGTGAACACATCCAAATCATGTCGCTGTTGCTTGCCGGCTGACCCTAAAGCATTCCGTCGCCCAGCCACTCGCCGCCTGGCGTTCACGGCATTTTCGCCATGTCCTGGCAGACGAAAGGGTATCGCCCAAAGCTCCAAGCATTCCGAGCAGAAATATTCCAGTTGTGGGCTGTTTCTTGGGTTATATCATGTAGGGAGCCTGTTCAACATGTTCGAACATAAAGGGTTCCTAGGATCACGATCCCGCGACGCATGTTTTTCGCAGACACACATGTTAGTGCCACATGTGAAAAGACATGATGTGCAAACGGGACAACTTCTTGGCCAGAGCAATGCTAAATCTGCTGGACGGTGGCATCCGTTCTCCAATATATGCATACCTGGACCATCCTGGACCTTTCAATGTGTTCCTTGTTTTGCCTTTTCAACGAAAACTGCTTTTTCGGGCAAGCGGCACATTTGTGTGCCTCGGAGCACATTTTGCATTTTTGAGAACTCCGTCGGGCTAAAATAAACGCCGTTGTGATTCTGGACGAGAACTTCTGCCGCCGCAACAAAAAACGCCGCGGCAGTTTGCAAGAAACGCCGTTGGCCCCTGGCTGATCCAAATCAGCTCAGTGACTTGGCGCAAAGCAGTCTCAGAAGGTCGCAACACGAAGCGCTGAAAGCAACAAAGCTGACTTTCTCCCCCTTGCAAGGCGGCTTTGGTCGATTTGTGACATCCGGATCACTCCTTAGCGAAGATTATTTGAAGAACCTCATAAAGAGAGCGTTTGCGATGCTTGGGCTCGAGTTCCGCCGTT